CATGCTGTTTGTGGGGAGTATTTCTGCAAGTTTGAAGAACTTCTTATAAAAATATCATCACCGGAAAATGATGCCGAATATCAATTTTTCACTCACACCAATGTTCTGTGAATAAAACAAGCTTTCACCCGATACTAAGCTTCACATATCTTACACACATATTACATGCTTTGTCTGCTAAAAAGAGTTATAAGGCAAATATTAAAATATCATAGATTCCAATAAACACATCAGATATATGTATACGGCATAACACATACAGTGGATACATTTTCACTACTTATGAGTTTTAAACGATTGTCTTTTAAAATCGTCATGCAAGGTTCTGTTTCTTTTGTTGTAAGATAAGTTTGTAAGGGTTTCAGAAAGGGCAGGAAGCAGATGGTCAAACGTCATGTGATAGTCACGCATAGATCCCGTGTTTGCAGGCCTGAGGGCGTCAGTTAATTTACTTCCTGTGCCTACACTGGTTCCATACATTAGTGATCACGAGGTATCTATATGTCGTGAAATAACTTTTCAGTCCTGATACAAAAGATATCTGTGTTATCTCCTGATTGGATTAGTTTCAACCTCATGATGGCTGATAGGGGGGAGATCTTTAGGTCCTTCTGTAATATTTCTGTTTCATGATTCACGTGGTAAATCCACAGCTTATGGGGGTCTGTTTCATAAGACAGAGACCTTACACAGTTATAATTTCTTTTGTAGTTTTGTTATTAGATGAGACAGCCGTACGGCTTGAGAAGGCCTTAGACTTTCTATCATGTGATAAAACTGAAATAGAGAAAACTACAGGCACACTGGGTTCCCGCTTGGTCTGTAAACATTTATGAACATTGCTGCTATTATTGTGGGGACCCGACACATATCACTGAGAGCTGCTATCAGTTGTTTTTGGTTCACCTACAGCAGATGGAGGGTTTGGGCCCTGGCATTGTGGCAGCAGCCGGAGAGCTCTCACAGGAGGAGGAGGACGAGCTGGGCCCACAGTCTTTGGTGGTTGTGAGACCAGAGAAGCTCACTGCTTTGCAAAGGCAATTGGATCGATTCGGAGACCAGAATGGACAAAGAGAGTAGTCGTGTAAACTGGAATGCGGCTACTTGCCCCAAGACTAAACAAAATCCTTATCTTATCTGCTTTTGGGACAACTAAGAGAGCACTGCAGTGAGACGCTCTTGTGTTCCTTCCCCCAACTCCTGACATTTACCAACCTTGCCCAGATGCCCAGATTTTGCCGCTTTGTTCCGCCAGTCTGACAAGCGGGTCTGCGATCAGCGCCGAGAATGGCTGCAGGACCGGATGGCTGCTTGCCTGTGCTGGATTACCTCCACCCCCCC